GTATACAAGTTTAGCAAACTTAATTTACGAAAGCCAAAAAGAAAAAAAATCGAAAGGGGGGATACCGACGCGCACGAGTGAGTGCTGGATCTGCCTTTGGTTCCTCTATATTTTGTTTCAAACATGATGGTAATATGCCCACTTTCTTACATCTGTTTATTTCAATTTGGAGCCAAAAATTTTGTCAACACATGTATGACAAACGGTCGATGACATTGTCGGACATTTCTCTCAGAATACAACCTCCCCGAAACATTTTTGCTTCAAATACATTCCCATATATGATTCTTATGTATCAAAATGTTTTGCACTGATTTTAAAAAAAGTCAGCAAGAGCTAAATAGAAAGGAAAAAACCTACTCAATCAAATATAAATTAAATTTTGGGAAAACACATTGTATAATGCATCTCATAATTATAATTATTTAAATTGATAGATACCTGCACGTCCACCTCACTCGGCATTTTAGTTGCGACTGATAAAAATGGGGTACTAAATCATCTTTCTGCAAAATCATCTGATTGGCTGAGAGATATATACCCAAGTACACATGTAAATTAGCGAGGTCATAAGAAAGGTCACGTCACAAGTCATTTAGAATACTCGTTTCCTACTGTATCGGAGATACAGGGCGGGGCCCAGCTCGAGCTATCGCTCTCGCCTTATGCCCCGCCCTGTATCTCCGATACAGTAGGAAACTCGTACTCTAAATATAACTTGGAAGTCGTAGCATATGCTGGCAAGTCTTTTCAACTTTTACTGTAATACTGTATAATGACTCAAGTAACCCGACCCAAAACAAAATGGCTATTTTATTGAATGTTTGTGTTTAAGATTTCTTTAATATTTCATGTTATGAATGATTTTAGAATTTTATATTTTATTTAATATGTAACTTTTGTTGCATATTTATTTACAACCTAACTGAACATGTGAAGAAATATAATTAAACAACAAAATGCTTTCTTTGTTTATTACGGTTGCAACCATTGTAGAAAAAAAAGCTTAACCCGCGTATGTGGGTTATATTATTTCTTTTGCAGTGGCTACAACCATTAATTTCCATTTTGAAAAAAAAAACAACAACAACAAAGAAAACATTTTATCGTTTATATTTATATCTGTATGAATTATTCGTCAAGAGTGTATAAGTACGTAAAATATTGTATTATTGATTGTACGGCACATTTTTCATACTAATTGTTAGGCCATTATTTACGCACAAAAATTTCTACGGATTTTTCTGTTTACCGGATCATAACAAAGAACACAACGTGGGTGTGACCGGTCAACAAGGGATGCTTACTCACCAAAGATCCTGATCCCGCCTTTGATGTTTTTGGAGGCCCGTGTTTGCTCTGCTCCCGATTTGTATTGTTTAAATGGATTATGAGCTTGAATACTGTTCGTTATCTCCATATTTCATTGAAGGAAGAACCCACTTCATATGAAATCTTTGAAATAGTCGGCTTAACTAGTTAAGAGTTCATCGATTGATTAATGGGAATCGTTTTTCATAAGAAATAAGGGAAAATTGTTCAATGGATGTAAAAATATAAACATTACCAATACTATTTCATCTGTGAGTACTAATACTGTTTCTACATTCTCACAGATAGATTTAAAAAAAAATACTAGATTTGTTTGATAAATTTTAATGAAAAACATTCTTGTACAAGTTCAAACAAAGTTTATAGCAATAAAGAATCAATCACAATTGAGCAGCTATAAATATGAAGAGGGTCTCCTACCTCCTAACTCTCGATTGATAACCAATCACAATTGATCAGCTATAAAAATGGAGGGTCTCCTACCTCCTAACTCTCGATTGATAACCAATCAAATTTATTCCTAAACAGGAAGTCACATTTTATTGCTTATTGTTTTTGTATTGTTGTGGGTCATACAATGGCAAGCTATACTTTCAGACCTTATACTACTTAATTTCTTACTAAAATGATCTGCTATTAGGGGAAAATTCAATCTACGCATTTCTTGTTGAATGCAAATCACATACGGTACCAATTTTGATGCACCAGATGCGCGTCTTCATTTTGCAACAAAGACACCAAAGATTTGTTCTTTAATCTTTGAGAGAGATTAGATTGAATTCCTTTCTCAAAACTATGGAAACACTATGAACTTGATTTTCCTCATTTAATTTGTAATACTAATTCTTATTTCTTTTTATTATGAAAACTTAGACACCTGAATACAGGTAAATATGTTGATCTCTATATAGTCAAGTCAAATCGTTTCAAAAATTGCATAGTTTTCTGTAATGTTAATAAAAGTAGCGACATAATCTCACTCTGAATCCAAATAAAGCTGTAGAAATTCTTCTTAGAAATAAAAAAAAATTGTATTAATAATGAAAAATGTTTTAAAATCTTAAATTAAGATTTCTAAAATATTTATCAAGTGCCAAACATTAGGTACTCGTTTTCCAGAAAATTCAACAGGTTAAGAATTTGAATCTGTAATAAAAATAATGTCAGTTTGAGTGAAATTTATTGTTGGGTGTTACTGTTAAAAGTATTTTACTGTAATAGATTAACATCATTTTTGAAGTTCTCCAATCCCAACATATTCTCGTGGGTGTCATGGTCTTGATGTGGTTGTTAAGTAGGAAAACAAAGTCATTAGATTAGAAATTCATACTATCAAATTATAATATTTTTACTATAAATTGGTCCTAAAATAATATCTTAAAATCTAAGTATTTGTAAATAATATGATGGTAAAAATATTCACTCCTGTTCTAAAATGGCAAATTGTTTTTATTTTAGTCACAGTGTAGGTGGAATATCATGTTTCCATTCTTCATTATTCTAAGTAAATTAAATAAGTAAACTTTCAACATTGATCTGAAAGTTATAGTTCACATAAAAACACAAAAAGTACAATAGACCAAAAACAAGCTTTGTACTGTTCATCTTTCAAATATAAAATTGATTACTATTCAATATATAAAACTTGACCAGATATATTTTTCTTAACAGAGATTGTTATTACTTGATTATATCAAAGTGAACAGTTTTGTAGGCTACCTGATTATATTATATCAAAGTGAACAGTTTTGTAGGCTACCTGATTATATTATATCAAAGTGAACAGTTTTGTAGGCTACCTCATACAGATTCCACAATTGCTATGTAAAAAAAATCCTTTTGAAGAAAATGTATTGGAAGAGTAATATTCAAATATATGTTTCTTCTCAATTTTTTTTTTCAGAATTAAAAGAAACATGTAACATGTATATAAAAGTCAAAAACTACTATATCTCTCGAAATGAAAAATGACACCTTGTGCACTAGACTGAGAATACCCTCTTGTCAAACAGTCTTTTGTCAAGTACCCCGGATGAAATGAGATCGGTCACATCATATAAAAATATAGCAAAGAAAAATGCATGCCCAAATACACGTATATGAAATCCCATTCCCTTGCGAGAAAGGTGGCTATCTCATATCTGAATTTTAGAAAAGTTGAAGATAAGGAATTATCAATTCTCATAAATCCAGTAAAGAATCACGGACAGAGCAAAAAACCAAAAACACAGACCCCTGGAAACTCCGAAAGTGGATCGGGCTGACAATCTCGGGGTCGTGAGTTAGAGCCCCGGCGTGGGCGCCGTCGGATTTTCTTCAGAAAAAGCATGTATTTCGGTATTGTATGCTTACGCTACATAAATCCTTAGATCACTATTCGAAAATAGTTGGATATTGATTATATAGAGACAAACTGGCAGGAAGCATAATAATTTATAATAGATAAATATATATGCTTCCATTGCATCTGATACCAACTATGCTGTTTGTAGACCTAAGAGCCGTGTTTGGTCTGCTCAACATTTTGTATTGATTTGCTCTTTTTGAATTTGTTGACTGTTTGTTATCTTCAATTATAAAAACTATAAAAAATATCTTGATTCAAATTTTGACTATAAGCGTGGTAGATGGTTGAAAAAATTCCCGCCTGCATCCTTAACCTGACCTCGATGATGATTGGAGAACAGAATCGCTTGAATTTTCATGAACTAGAAAGATTACTAAGTTTAAGAACTGTACTTCATTAGCATCAGTAAATAGATTGATACATGTTACAAAGATAAATTTCATGTACGTTCTTTTCTTCTTGGGGTTCATACCTAAGATATACATGTATATATGTATAAGTATGATAAATTGAAATTCCTGGATATATAAAAGTCTCTTTAGGGTAATGAATATACATGAAATTAGAAGATTTGTTACATGCGTGGGATTCATTTCCCTATTAGATTCGTTTCTTATCTGGTGAGTCCTAAATCATGTCTGCTTTTATGAGTGACACCTATCTGAATCTCCAGTAGTTCTCGTGTGAGTGAAGCAAAGGATCTTATAAGATTCACTTTAAGGTGTCAAGGAATTTCTTTTATTCATATTTACATGTATCAGACAGTTATGGACTTTTATGATGGTGGATTAGAATTTAATATGCATTTAATGAACATGTGTGCTTATAAATTTTTATCTTTAATTTGAATGAACCATGCACTTTAACTATTGAATTGAAAGTAAAACTTTCAAATGAAATAAAAGCTTGAATGATTTTTGTCATAATAGTTGAGCAAAAAAGGGCAATCAGTCTTCAGGAAATTACTCAGACTCTGTCCTTATCTTCTCTAAAAATATAAAGTATACCTTTTCCAGTTCATACCTCCTCGATGATACTTAATGCACAATGATTTAAAGATCCTTGATTCTATTTCCATCCATCCATTTATTACACTTAAATCGTTTTGTTTACTGCATTTATGAGATTAATCACTATTCGTTATAATCATCTGTTATATAAACGAACCCACTTAGCCTATTTTTAAAATTTTAGTTTGCAGTATTATATCTTTCTTTGTGCTTTGCAGTGTGAATTGAATACAACAAATCTTTGTCATTATATTTCATATTTTATTAAACAAGAAACAACTTGTGTAAATAACAGTAAAAAATATCACAGCATATAATAAAAGTGTAAAGATTCTATAAATAAATAAAATGTAAAACATATTGAGACAATCAGTGCCCATGTTGACGTGTAAAACATGATATCTGAATAAAAGAAATGAATACATAACAATAATAAATACTTCATGTAAGATTTGTGGAGATACTACAGCACCATGATTCTGACAAACATAATTAAACACTGGACGGAATGTCTTCATAAAAATAATAAGATTGTAATTATCACAGTAGACTTTCAGAAATGTTTGTTATACACTAGATATTAGATTAGATAAGTCCATGTCTGATGCAGTGATTCTCAATGATCAAAGAGCGACAGCTATTCATGACCTTTTGGACACTGCTGGTATCAACTGCGCATGTGTAGAAGGTTTCGCAGCTATGTTTGCTATGCCATTCAGCATCATGCTTGGTAATACGATTCTTAATTTGAAGTTCTCCTTTCACAATCTTTTGGAACAAGTGCTTTATGTAGACAGCTGTTTTAACTACATCTGGATGTACAAAAGAAAATTTGTACTTCGGGTAGGCTTCAAGAAATTCAATGACATCAGATTCCAAAGTTTTGAAATTCTTGAAATCAGGAAAGATATCTGGATACATCTTTGTAAGTTCAGAAATGTCACATCCACGGGAAATTTTCTCTGCCAAAACATCAATTTTGTTGATGAAAAGGAGTACGGATACATTTTTAAGGAATCGGTTGTTCCAAACTTGTTCAAAGTTTTCTAAGGCTTCCAGAAGACGGTTCTTCGAAGGATCCTCACAGAGTGTTTGGTTAAAACTGCTACAGTCAACAACGAAAAGAATAGCATTTGCTTTGTTGAATACTTGAATCCACTTTTTACGTTCTCCTTGCTGACCTCCGACATCGTAGACATCAAATTCAACTTGATGACCTCCCTCTGGAACCTCGAATTTGGTATGCTGAATCGACGTTGTCAAACTTCTGCACCTGAGGATATCTTGATCGGAGGGAATATAAGAAGGGCTTTTGATTTCAGGGATTTTATCAAGAAAACTGAAAAAAAGAAAAAGGAACATAAATAAAAATTGATGAAGGAAATAGTTTTAATTATTTTTTGTCAAATGTATACATCCATGAGTATGCACAATAGCAGCAAAGTTAGGATACTTACTATTTTGCACAATCAAGAAGCTGCAACTGATGTGCCCTGATATAACATTCTTGAACACCAGCATCGGCCCAAAGTCTCTCGACGTCACCAAGGAATTCTTGGTTTCTGTGACTTTCAGGATTTCCTGCTTGTCTCAGAATATTGTTTCTGCTTTTCTCGTTTTCTGTCTGTGCCAGGGGGATTTCCAATTCATTCATTGCTGTTAATAATACCACAATGGCGTGTTTGATGTTCCTTTTGATGTCAGCAATTTTCTCAATTCTTTCACTGAAAAAGTAAATGATGAGAATTAAATAAATGCATTTAAAAATCAAGGAAATTTGGAAATGTTTGTCTTCAAGCAATAAACAAAGGAATGCTTATTTAGTTTCTTTTAATATTTACCTTCTATCGAATCCATTATTGTGGATAATTTTCATTTGCTTCATAATTGTGCTTTTTCCGGATTCTGCAGTTCCAAGGAGCAGGACTTTCAGTTTCTTTAGTTCCTCGTCATCATGTTGTTTTAGAACCTTACTGATCTGTTTGTTTCTTCGATTAGCTTTTTTAGCTTCCTGACTTGAGAGGTAACAGTTAAATTTGTCCTCACAGATAGAGTTAAGGATTGATTTAATCTTTTGTTGCATTTTGTTTCAGTTCACAAGCATCACAATACAATCCTTCGATAGAGATTAAGAAAAGTCCAGATAAATAGTGATCAAGTGTATAAAATCACGGTGTATTAGATATCTAATCCAAAGGTAATGATAAATTCAATGTTTTTGCTTTCACTTGCTATGTTTAACTGATTTCACCTTGTGTTGACAAGCCTTTTATACCTTGTGTTTAATTATGCACTAATTAAAATTCGTATTCGCTCGTCCAATTATCCTTCTTGCCTGATTGTGAGCAATACATCACCGCGTTTCTTTACTTCGTGTGGTTTTTTTAAAGATCAGAAATGATTTGTGATTTTCAGTCTGGCCTGTCACCGAGGATGAGGTTTTGTTAATCAGGAATTGATGTATCTAAGTACTCCTGTCAGGCCTTTGAAATTAAAGACATGATTTACTGCATTTTTAAAGATGATGGGCATAATGCTACAGTACCTCTGATTATCCTAATCTTCCTGTGCATGTTTTGATAAAACCACTTAAAATACTTATTTTAAGCGGTTGCTAATTGTAACATTTATTGGTATGATAATCATATCTATAGTATGTTAAAATGACAAAAATCATAGTTATATTGTTTGCACAAATCATTGTCTTTTTTAAAGGGCCCATTCTAAGCATAAAAACCTACTGTTTATATGTGTGTAAATATAAAACACTGTGTGATATATTCATAAACCACAGAGCATCTGCTTTCAAAGTTGAAACCATTAAATTCCGATGGGCTAATCAGAACAAGGGATTTCTTTAAGCCATTGCCAAATATTTATTTTCATTCCCTTCATAAACAGCCAGTCTATTTGAATATTAATAATAGTATCTGAGAATAATATAATAAATAAAGCTTGACTTTAATACAACACACCGTGATTCAATTACATTTATAACCTCATTAGCCGTGCTGATGTCCAATGTTTTAAGAATTTAATTTGGGAGAAGATGTTCAGTGCTTTTACCTTGAAATAGTTTAATCTCAGAAAGCTTAAGTATTCAGGGGAAAAAACAACAGATGATACCGGGAAAAAAGCAATAAATGAAAGTTAATATGTATACTTTCTGGAAATAAAGGCAAACTTCTCAGGGTGTTTGATGTTCTTTTTCTCTCAAAGAGAAAGTTTTATTGTTACACCTTGCTTGCCACACAGTTAGCAGACAGAGAGCTCCTTGAATGATCTTCAAATAGTCTTTAGTATTAAGATATGCAAGAAGACAAATCTTTCATATTTTTATCATGTTTATTTCAACAAGCAGTATAAAATCAAGTATAAAAATAAAATGTATAACAGCGTGTAAAAATAAAAGTAAAAAAAAACCTAACCCTTGTAAAATAGAGTCAGACGAACATTGCAAAATATTAATAAAGATGAAAGAAAGGAATTAAGTTTAAATAAGACATATTACAGCTTAGCACATTTAATGATGTAGTGGTTCAAGTCCAAATCCGTCATCCAGATTAATTTTTTGACAAACATAAGACGGAAGAGAAACAGGTGTGAAAATCCATTACACACAACAAAAAAATTAAATATTATGAATATCACAGTCACATTTATTATCTATGTTTCCACAGTTTAATTTTTCATATCTAGTCTCAAAGGTGATAAGGTACTTGAAGGTTGGTTATGAAACACTTTCATTTGCTGGGCATCATATATCATATACTGCAAAATGTCAATCGTAAAATGTCCACACTTTAATGTCACTGAAATTATATAATTCCAAATCTTCTCAGATGATTCTGTATGATTAAGGAACGACATCCGTTTAAAACTCTTTGCACATTGTTTGTATCTATTGCGCATGTGTAGAAATATTCACAACTGTGTCCATCGTGCCAGTCAAGGGTTTGCTTTGTGACACGTTGTTTGAGCTGCAACTCTCCTCGGACAATTTTCTGCAAAAAATAGAGGGAGAAAAATTGGAATAATGTCATTTGACAATGAATAAAAACAGTGTGTGTTAAAAGTATTTTTGATGGTAATGAGCAGTACATCGAAAATCAATACATACCATGAATAACTGCTTTATGTACACTGCAGTTTTAATGGTGTCAGGGTGGGCATCAAGATGTGACACTGATTTCGATTTTTTGTTGGTCTCGTTACTGTATGATGGATAAGCTTCAAGGAATTCCAAGATGTCAGATTCTACAAAGGGAAAATTACCGTTAGTGTTTAAAGCTAACAGATGTTTTTGAGGTCAATGGAAATATCAGCAAACTCTTCAGTGCATAAAAAACAAATGAAGAATTCTGTTACTTACTTGACGGAGTGAATGTCTCAAAGTCTGGGAAGACATCAGGATAAAGTTTGGTAAGCTCCGAGATAACTCGACCTCTGGCAATTTTCTCAGCAAGAACATCAATTTTGTTGATGAAGAGAAGAACAGATACATATTTTAGGAATCGGTTGTTCCAAACTTGTTCAAAATTCTCCAAAGCTTCCAAAAGTCTGTTTTTGGAAGGATCCTCTCGAAGTGTTTGGTCGAAACTGCTGCAGTCCACAACGAAAAGAATGGCGGTGACACTATCAAACACTTGGATCCACTTCTTCCTTTCTCCTTGTTGTCCACCGACATCGTACACATCAAATTTCACTTGATGGCCTCCGTCAGGGACCTCGAATTCAGTATGTTGAATGGCTGTTGTTAAACTTCGGCATCTGAGGATATCCTGGTCAGACGGAATATAGGCGGGGTTCTTGATCTCATGTATTTTGTCTAGAAAGCTGAAAAATGAAAAATATGCTAATATTATGCATTTGAAATATTTTGACTGAGTTCATACAAATCTCTAGTTCTGAACAAAATTTTACATTTTAACATGTAAATACTTACTATTTAGCACAGTCTATCAGTTGGAATTCATGGGATCTCTTATAGCATGCCTGCACTCCAGCATCAGCCCAAAGCCTCTCAGCATGATCCAAAAACTCCTGTTAACAAATTTTTCATAGTTAATATTTTTAACAAAAAGTTAATTATTATCAACGATAATTATCAATAAAAATCAATTAAAAATTATCAAAAGAAGTCATAAAATCCAGGAAGCAATTTTTTATATACTTACATTTTGTCTGTGACTTGTAGGATTTGCAGCTTCTCTTAGAATGAAGTCCCTACTGATCGTATTGCTAATGTCTTCCAGAGGAATGTGCAGCTTATCCATGGCTGATAATAAAACCACAATAGATTGCTGAATATTTCTCCTAATGTCTGAAATTTTCCCTAATCTTTCACTAAAAGGCAAAATAAAAATTAGAATGAATTATTTATAATTAACAAATTTATGCATTCAAAATAAACTGCATAATATTGCAATATCAATATTACCTGACATTATATTCCAAACACAAATTTTGTATTTACCTCATATCGAATCCATTGCCATGGATAATCTTCATTTGCTTTGTAATTGTGCTTTTTCCAGATTCTGCAGTTCCTGAGGTGATAAAAAGATACATATTAAAAACATACAATATGCAGTCTTGAGGGATACAGAATTTTACCTCAAAGGACAATTTCTGAAAGTCAAGAAAGTGATGCATCTTACCTAATAAAAGAATTTTCAGTTTCTTCAGCTCTTCTTTCTGATGTTGTTTCAAAATCTTGCTGATTTGTTTATTCCTGAGCTTAGCTTTCTTTGCTTCTTCTTCTGAACGATAGCAACCAAATCGGTTCTCACATGTTGGACGGAATAGTGATGTTAGTTTTTCTTGCATTTTTGTCATTTTAATTAACTAGCCTTAGAACCATCACAATGTAATCCGGCAATCAATTTACACAATGCACAGGTTTTTCTACCGTAAATCCAAATTTGAATATATTTTGTGTATATCTTTGTTACGTGTGATGTTTCTTAAGGTGTCTCTACAAATGTTGTCATAAAACTGACTTCAAAATCAGATGACAGCCCTTTTATACTTTCACAAGCGGTAGCGACGAAATTAATATGTCAAATTATGCAGTATATTAAATACAAGCTCGATTCTCCAATTAGCCTTCTTGTTTTGCTCGGGGCAATTTATCATTATTTCTTTACTTGGTGTGGTTTCTGAAGTTCAAGAATGATTTGTGTTCTTTTTACACTGTCTCGTGGTTATATAGCGAATATCATTGGGAGTGGGATTAATAAGTAAGCAATATTTATTTATCTTTCTTATACTTGTAAAAAGCTATAATGGCATAAGTGAGGTCGTAAGTGAAAGTTTGACCTTGCATCTAAGCTACAAGTATTCATTTCCCTCGAACGACAAGTTTGCAAAATTGCTTTAGCAACAATTCTAGAATACTTTGCTATTCATATAAGGTAAATTTCACTTTTGAGGACTTGACTTTTGGACTTTGGAGAAGTATCTGCTAAATAAAATGGGAAAATATGAGCTAAGCAACAACAGAGAACGTTTTAAAGACATTGCTGTGTATTTTTTCCTTCAAAAGTTGCTTTCAATGAGAACTTATACAAAAGAAACATTTTTTTCCCTTAGGACTGAAGTATATGCATTTTGGATCAGGTTTTAAACCTGGATCATTCAAAATATCCTAGTAGTATTTATCGCACATTGTAATTTTATTCTGCATTATCACTGAATACGAAATGTCATTTCATTTAAAATCTTCCACAAACATCGTGTACTTTCTCCTGTCTCTATTAATGTTAACTTTGATATATGTATGCAATGCCTTTTAATTTCCATTCGAGGTTTATAGTTAAGAGCATGCTAATGATTGCAAATATTTATAATATCCCTTTATCATCAGTGTTAAATCATGGAATGTTAGCATTATTTAATGTCAAGATCTTGCTTGAATAACTGTTATCAACAAATGTTCTCTTGGAAAGGTATTGCAATACATCTTTTCAGAAACTGACTTTAGAAGTAGCTAGATAAGTTATTAACATCTTCAAGGTTTATTATTATAAACTGTATTTTAAAACATTGCATTGTCCAATGTGTTACAGTTGTATCTCGGGAAAAAGACATAAATATAGTACATTCGCATTGAATCCATAAATTAAATATGCATCTGTTTAAAACATATGCAATTGTGGCAGGGCTGTAATAAATTTCATAATCCACACAGGTGCGCGTTAAACTATATACATTTTTTATTACTATTATCTCCTGGGCGGCGAATTCAGTGTACATAACAAAAAAGAGGGGGGTACAATGTTCTGATGCAAAAAGCAATAAAATGCACCATTTAATGGAAATAAATATATGTCAGAAGATTAAAAAAATCACGTTATGTAATTCAATTAACACAAAAGAAAGATTAATAAATGTCATTGCATACATAGAGTGATTAAAATTTCCACAAAATGACAAAAACCTTAGAAATGGGTTAGGCATTTATTTAAGATATTCCATTCCTTTTTCTTCATCACCTACAGCGCTCCATTTCATTTCTCGATTGTTTGTTCTTGTTAACCTTCGTATTTGAGTCGAACGTGTGCACTGCTAGTTCTGAAGGAAAATGACAGATTTGACAGAAATGATTTGTTCTGATGTCACCTTCGACGATATGATTAACTGATAGATTGGTAAGCAATACTCTTTTTCTATGAAAAAAGATCAGATGCACTTTGCATGTCGATATGTTCTTTTCGGGAAAAAAGATATTGTAGACAATATTCGAAAGAAACGTCTTTACAAAATGTCCCAAGAGTACCAAAAGCAACACAGCAATTCATTTATGTAAAATACGATTAGTAAATTCCAATGCATTGCCATATAGGCGTAAACATTTAACAGTTAATGTAGTTCATGCTGTCAATAAAAGATCTAATTTTTCAGGTTTACAATTCGACATCATAACTTAATAAATCTAAGATTAAGGTATCAAAGAATTGCAAGACAACATCAGTTTGGTAGCAATTTTAGATTCTGTTATCATGAAAATGGAAATTAAACAAGTTCACCGTTTTTAATCAATCATGTCATGAGTGATAGATAATCAATCAGCTTTGCCAATTTAAAAAAAAAAATCTATGACTAAGAAATTCATACCTGATAGAAAATACAAATTTTTTTTTAAACGTATGAGTAATCAATGTTTTGAAAGACAAGCTTCTAAAAAAATGTAAATGTTGCTAATCTTGACATTACTGTTTAGTAAAGATTACAAATACAGAGTATCCACACAAGAGGAAAGAAACCAAAGATTGTTGGAGGCAAGCATTTGATGAAATATTTACTAAAAAAATTAAAATATCAATATACTTACATTTAATAGGAAGGATTAAGACATCTTTTAAGTGTAAATGGGTACTGTACACATAGAATGGTGCCTTGTTGCACATAATTGCAATAGCTTGTTTTAACTTATTTTTATTGCATAACGCGTTTAAGAAAAATCCATTAAAGGAATCAAGAAATGTTTTAAAAGTAGTAAATGCTAATATTTAAGCTGGGCGATCAATGTATTATTAAATTATTTCTGTTTTTGTACATACTATATGCATATTATAAAGTTTTTTTTATCTTCAAAAAGTCAATTTCGTAGTAAGAAATTCCTAAACAACTTCAATAATAAATATATCATGCCAATTTTTAACTCCTCAATCGCATAACCGATACTAAAGAAAGTAATGAAATTTCAAGCTTTTCTATAACGTATTTAGCTATTAACACACCCATCCATACACCTACATGTACTTTTACTTTTTATTTCTTATCATATAACAGTGAAATAAAATTTCTGACACTGTTTAAGTACAAGTCTATGGATTTCATTTAGGCTATTAATCCGTTGGTTAGTATTGATAGATCCTATCAGTTAACCGCTAACTTAGATAAGTATTCACACTTCCTTTGCATGAAACCACACAGTTAAAACTATACAAAGCCATTCTTTGTATTCTACAGATTTCCTATTACGTGACACTGTTGCCATTCTACCTTTTGTTGTTTTTGAATAGCTCCATCATTGTGTTGCCCAGGCAAACAAATCTCCTCCAATAAGAATATCCTATATCTGTTCAGACCAGTGATATACTGATATGATATGGTAAATCTACCTGTTATGTTCTAGTTGTAGTTGCAAGAAGTAACCTATAACGACTTTTCGTTAGTAAAGCGATAGTAATTTTAAAGTTTTAAGTACATAAAAAAGAAATTAACATACAGATAAGTATTTATGCTCAAAGTAGTTAACATATTATTCCCATAAATAAATTATACGCATGTGGAAGATCACTCACAGGATGCAATGAAGCCTTCCACAAGAATAACCTATGGCTGTTTTCCAGATGACACTAGGTTCAAAGCAAAGGGAGTGAAATTGAAATTAATTTTTCTGTTAAATACAAGACGAAGCAAAAATGATAAAAGAATAATCCTTATTTTTTCATAAACTCTGTCAAGTTGAAAACAAAGTTTTCCCCCCATCGTATGAATAACCTACAAATTCATGGATGAAGACTTCGAACGTTAAAAAATAATTAAAACCGCAGATTCCTGTAATCATATTTAATTTTTGGCATCAGTCCTACATGTACATTACAAAGTCAGACGACAGAAGTTTTTTTTGAATAGAATAAACATTTAGCCAAGTCTATCAATTTAAACTCTTAATTTGTACATACATTATCTTTTAACCATATATGGCATGATCCTGAACTATGATTATTTGTCACAGGTCATGGTCATTAGGATGTAGGACATCCATTTCGTGAAAATTCTTTTCAAAGCAATAACTTTGTAATTAAATATTGTTAAATTCCATTGTATCTTTTCAAGGCCACATTAAACGTGGTTTGATCTTGTATCACTGTACAAAGTTTTGTTTATTTTAGGAAAGGGTGAGACAGGATTTATACAAAATGACTTTAAGATCTGATTTGTTAGAGTTTTAAAAAGGAAAACAACTTCATCACAACAAATATTCAACAGGAAATTCAATTTCCTCTTTCACACCTGGAAAGTTTTATCTGGTCATTTAAGGATTTTATGGTTGTGAAATCCTACCGGAACTTCTCTTGTTTGAACGCTATGGAAATGTTTTTGCCTGCTATGGGGCATGAAGGTCATTATCTAAATTTAATGTTACCCGGAGTTTCCATACAGTTTTACTTTGGAGTAAATTATGAAATCGTTTAATAAATAACTAAAGTTTTTCCTTTGATGATATAAAGAACAATGACCGGACGCAGTAGTAAAGCTATGCAATTCCCCAAAGAAGTAAACATAACTCTGTGAATCACTTGTTGAAACATAATATTTTATATATATGTAAGCTCATAGGCAAAGCATGTTTTCAAAAACTATAAAATATTCATTCTAGGGTTCATCAGTTCCTCTGAAGTTATACTCCTTTTATATGCATTCAAAACAGCTATAAAAAGGAGCATAATTTGTTCCTTTACACACGATATTGCTTGTAATAAATTAATCTTCGACACCTGCGATAATTACGTGTGCTATATTGAACCTGATAAGTATATTCAAAAGGAATTGAAATAGAAATAATTAAAAAACTGAAACATTTTCTGAAAAAAAAAACAAACCCAAATCTGATTTTTTTTATGAAAAAATTATAATATCTGGTATTTTTTTTCCCATGAAATCCAATTAAAATAGGATACAAAACATAAATCATTCGATTTCGAGCATAATTTCTTTATGTTAAAAAAATTAAATTGGTAAAACACATGTTTTGTAATATCTGCATAAAGGTAATTATACAAACTATGGATGCTTTTTTCTTTCAATTAAGACCAAGAAATCAGAAATATTACAAGGGATGTTTGAGATCTCTTAATTTCAGTATTATTTAAGAAATAAGGTATCATTTTTAAACATCTATCGAGATATAAATACGGGTTGGTCACGAGATCAAATTCCAT